ATATACATATGTGGCGCCTGGGTGGCTCAGTCAGTTAAGCGTCTGACTTCGGCTCGGGTCATGATCTCACGGTTCGTGGGTTCGAGCCCCGCATCGGGCTCTGTGCTGACAGCTCGGAGCCTGGAACCTGCTTCAGATTCTGTGCCTCCCTCTCTCTCTGCCCCTCCCCTGCTCATACTCTCTCTCAAAAATAAATAATGAAGATTTTTAAAAATTTAAAATAAACATTAAAAAATTTTTAAAATTAAATATAAATAGAATTTCTAACATTTTCTTCCTGCACATCCTTATCACATCTTACACTTCCTCCCAGACTAAATCCTGACACATTGCTTTCCTCTGCCTGGGCGGCCAGATCCTCTAGCAGGCAAGGCCTCACCTTAATCCCTTAGCACCTGCTACATTTTGTCTGGAGTCATTGCTTCTTCCGTCTGGGAGAGCCTGCCCATTTCTTTCTCTCTGTCTCTCGCTCTCTTTCTCTGCCAATTCATCCACATATCTTGGGGATCTTTTACCTCTCACACTGGAATATGTTGCACCCAATCAATTGCCATTAAATGATCGAACTACCTTTTCACCTTTTGTTGGGTCTCATATTGTTGTATTCTCCGGTGTTTGGGGTTGGTTCTATTTTTCCACAACCTTTTCAGAAATTTGGATAACGAGTCTGAGGCAACACCACACTAAAAAAGAAGTTGCTCATAACTTTTGTGTAGCAATAGAAGCAATTTTTTTTTTCCCTTTCAGGTCATCACAGATGTATCAGCTCAATAAAAATCAACTACTTAGAAAAATGGCCACACAGGTGAATGTCGCAGTGGGAAATTGCTCTAAGTTTTCCAACTGCCTTCAATTTGTTCGCTACCCCTTTCAGAGACGGCACCATTCCGTGGACCACGCCAGCCTGCTTTGCTCTCCTCGGAGACGTGGATTTAGAGTCTTAGCCTTGAAATTGGAAGTGCAGGTCAGTCCTGTGATCTGGCAATCCTACTTGTAGGACTTTATCCTACAGCTACACTTTTATGAAATGTCACAGATGAGGTTATCTATTGTGACACACTTTGCAATAGCAAAAGATTGGAAATAATCCAAGTGTCCTGCAATGGGGCTATTAAGCAGCTGTAAACAAAAGAATGAGGGCCCTCTCTCCCTATTGACACAGAGGGAGCTCTGGGGCACATATAACCTGCTCTCAGGGGTGTTAGAAAGTGGAGACAATAATGGCATGCATTTGTGTTTGCTTCTATTTGTATGAAGAGTCGAGAAACCAGAAGCTAATACAAAGGGTTGCCCTTGGTAGGGGATGCTGACTGGATGGCTTTGGGGCAGGAGGAAGAGTTCTTGGGGTGTACTTTTAAATTTGCTTTGACTTGTAAATGAGGCAAAGTATTAACTATTTACAAAACAAAAAGAAGTTGCTTGGGAGTGAAAGTGTCGGAGAGGAAAGTAGTTCTATAGAGTTCTCAAAAAAGAAAGAAAAAGAAAAAAGAAATAAAGAGCTACATGCTTTATACAATTGGATGACTTCCAAAGTTCCTTCAAATATCTCACTGTTTGGAAATTAGGAAGAAAATTGGAACTGTTTTTTTCCACAATCTGCCCAGTAGGGCACTGGGCTACCTCTCTGGATTTATGACAAGTTTCCTTTAGAAAACTAACATACGTGGGAAGGTGTTACCAAAGCTTGTTCAAGGACCAGAAGAAGGCCGCTCAGAATGAAGTTCCTAACATATAACCCAGCCCAACTGTGCTTTGCTTCCTGACCTCCAAGGGACAGATGAGAAAACTCTAGGGTGGTCATGAGTAGGGCCAGAGTGGGAACAATTTCTGAGCTATCTGAGCACCACTTCAACTGTTAAAAAGTTGCCTTTTCGGGGCGCCTGGGTGGCTCAGTCGGTTAAGCATCCAACTTCGGCTCAGGTCATGATCTCACAGTTGGTGAGTTCGGGCCTCGCATCCGGTTCTGTGCTGACAGCTCGGAGCCTGGAGCCTGTTTCGGATTCTGTGTCTCCCTCTCTCTCTGCCCCTCTCATGCCCATGCTCTTTCTCTGTCTCTCAATAATAAATAAACGTTAAAAAATTAAAAAAAAAAGTTGCCTGTTCTAAATAAAATTTACTCCAGCAGATCCCAGTAGTAAAACAGTTGCCTTTAAAAAAAAAAAAAAAATGTTTGATTTATTTCTGAAAGAGAGAAACAGAGTATGAGTGGGGTTGGGGCAGAGAGAGAGACACACACAGAATCCGAAGCAGGCTCCAGGCTCTGAGCTGTCAGCACAGAGCCTGATGGGGGGGGGGGGGGGGCTTGACCTCGTGAGACACGAGATCATGACCTGAGGCCGAAGTCGGAAGCCACCCAGGCACCCCAAAACAGTTGCCTTTTTAATTGGCACTTCTCTAGCTTTCTAAGTACAAGACATGATTTACTTAGATTTCAGTAGTAATCTGCAGAAGAGGGAAGATTCAAAGCCAGGTGATGATGGTGAAGTTTTGTGAAAGAACCTTTACTCATTATTGTAAATAAAAATATTAATGCCCCCGTGGTTTGAGCCACTGGGTAGGTTAGAAGTAGGTAGATCTTTTAGTGTCACATTTATTAGAGGTCTTCAGGATAACCCATTTTACAAGAGGGATAAGTGAGCAGTGGGATCTCAGGTTACCCAGGCAAGGAGTGGAGTCAGGATTGACTTCTAGATTCTCTGACTTCAAATAAAAGTTATCCAAGTTTTGGCACTCAGAGTTAGCCTTCATGGAATCAATAAAAAAATCATTGCAAAATACACTGAGCTTATTAGTATCTGGATAGATAAGGATGTAAATATTTAACTAGCACTTGAGATTTCTCTTATTTTTTTAAGTCATGAGCAATGCAAATAATTTCCAACATAAGTGGCTGCAAACTCACTACTTGGATTTTTTTGTTAAAAAAAAAAATTGACTTTAACCTTGAACTTTCTTACTTCAAATTCCTGCTTCTGACTGTCTCAAGTGTGGAACTTGATAGGGTGGGAAACCTGGCTTCTTGGCTCGTCCATTACCGATTTCTTTCTTTCTTTTTTTTTTTTTAATTTTTTTAATGTTTATTTATTTTTGAGACAGAGACAGAGTATGAACGGGGGAGGTTCCGAGAGAGAGGGAGACACAGAATCTGAAACAGGCTCCAGGCTCTGAGCTGTCAGCCCAGAGCCCGACGCGGGGCTCAAACTCACGGACTGTGAGATCATGATCTGAGCCGAAGTCGGACGCTTACCCGACTGAGCCACCCAGGTGTCCCTACCTATTTCTTATAACATTGGCTGGGGCCTTTACCTTGGAGTCTTGGATTTGTCTTTAAAAGTATTAGATTACATGTTTAAAGCTCTTCAGCTCTAAAATCTACTATGCATTTATATCTCTAATTCATAATTTCAAAATACTACATTTATTATGCTTCAACATTGAGGATTAGCTGACTTTTCACCTCCACGAGACGAGTCTCTTTTTAAACATTTGCTATTGAGCTGATTTAAATAGCCTTCTCCTCCGCAGTCGGTTAAGCGTCTGACTTCAGCCAGGTCACGATCTCGCGGTCCGTGAGTTCGAGCCCCGCGTCGGGCTCTGGGCTGATGGCTCAGAGCCTGGAGCCTGTTTCCGATTCTGTGTCTCCCTCTCTCTCTGCCCCTCCCCCGTTCATGCTCTGTCTCTCTCTGTCCCAAAAATAAATAAACGTTGAAAAAAAAAATTAAAAAAAAAAATAGCCTTCTCCTCTAGCTGGGTAAGCCCAAGTGGCTGGTTGGCCTCTATCCCCCTTCTGGTATTTTCCATTCTTTTTCTACTCAGACTTCCAGGCACACGGTATACTCCAGCTATAGTCACCAGATCCCAGAGTCCTCGGAGGCTCCCTTCCTGGATCCAGTTCTGTCCCCATGAGATTTGGGGATGTCATGGCCCATGCTAAGGACTGGTCTACCTCCTCCTCTCCAGCACTCAACAGTATAAACTTACTGCACCCAATGACATTCCTCCAGCACTTAGATAATGGACAATAATGGTTTGAAGTGTCCTCTTTTTTTCAACCCCAGCTTCCAGGGCTGTCATCTGCACTGCCGTTCCTAGTCTGAGAGTGAAGAGTGCTTTGGGCCACTGGGGCTTTTGGAATCTCAGGATCATACTCCCGTAATGGCCACTTGCTCTGTCACTAATTCCTGTCCACCGGAAAACAGTGTAGAATAATAATTCCTACTAAGGCACCACGAAGATGGTTTCTGGGAGGCTGTAAAAATCCCGCAAGACAGGTTCAACCTTCAAGAACTTACAGCCTCCATGGGATGATAAGACATAGATAGAGCTAGCAGGTGAAACAGTGACAGCAGGTGGGTGACCACTGTGGCCTTTGTAGCCAGGAAGGGTGTCATGTGGCAGGTGTGGAAGGACAGGAGCTGCAGCTAGATTTTTTTTTTTTTTTTTTTTTGGTTGCATCTAGACTTCTTAAGTGGAGTTCAGCTGCTGGGGAGAGAAAATAAATACTCCTGGCGGGCAGATCCTCCTACTAGCACCAACATTTTAACTGCAACATTTCTGAATCTCTGCCTGTTGTTCCCAGTTCAGACCTAAGTTCAGAACTTTTACCAGCTACTCCTCCCCACCTCTTGTTACCATTTTGCTTACCTTGCTCCTGCCAGATCCCTTCTGGACTTAAGCAGGTTTATTTCAGATTCAAATGTCTGCCCCACCCAGCCCAGTGCTGTAGCAGCTGGGAGGACACGTCGTCGTGCAAAGTTGCCAAGTCTTTAGTAGGAAGATATCTTTTTAGGGTAAATGAAATCTGGAGGGAAGGAAAATTTCTCCTGCTGGGTAAAAATCGCCAAACACTTATTTTCTGAGTGTCTTTACCAGTCTTTCTCCTTGGCTGTCAGCTTGGAGTTTTCCTTTTTACTCAATTCAAGGCCAAGTATATGTAGGCTACACTAGTGACAAGTAATAATGAATTAGACATTGAAGGAAGCAATGATAAGTCAGAGGCCTGCAGAATCCATAACTCGTTTTACTGGGTACCAAATAATTGAGGGTTGCCGATAGGAGAAAAGGACTTCTTTCCTCTTTTTGTGTAGTTATAGCTCTTTTAGATGGTCAAGGTTGCGAGATTTCAGTTCACTCCTGTTGAAAGAGCACTTCCTGAATTTCTCCTTCCTGAAGTGACCCCTGTGCTCTTGCTTGATGTGAAACCCTCTACAGAAGCAGGCATGTAGGCGCTCAAGGGACTCTGTTGAGTGAACTAATGAAATGAATTTAGGTGTTGGATGGGTCTGTCTCTATATCTCCCAGATTTATGGCTCCTGAATAATTGGTTGAGTCTATGAATAGTTTTAGAGGCTCAAAAACCTTTGTCAAGTATGGTCTGTTTTACATGTTTCTAGATTGTACAAGTAAAAAGCATACAAATAGAGCAGCTCTGTTTCTTGGTTGAAAACAAGCTGCTTTCCAGTCCAGGGCTCCAAGGTCAGGTTATGCTGAAAAATAACTACTAGTGGAAAAACCATAAAATATTATCATGTTGTTTGTAACTATTGCATTTTTTTCTGATAAGAGAGAAAAGAGATAAAAGCCAGACATTCTCAGGTGTTCTTGAAAATGAATTTTTTTTGGGGGGGGGGGGGGTAAAGAGCATCTTATCTGTGAGTCCAAAGGCAATGCAACATATTTTGAGGTTACACTCAGATCTTGGGTGTCATGTTCCCTTCATGAACTCAGAAACGCCTGACCCTACTTGCCAAGGCAGAGCTGAGGATTCCTGGGCTCTGTAAGAGTTTCCAGAGCTAGGCTTGGCTCTATATACCTGCCCAGGTTTGTGGAGCAGGACCTTGGAGGAAGGATCCCTCTTTGAACTCTAGGGCAGAATGACCTAACTTCCAAGAAATCACACTGTGTTCAGTTTTGTGGAGGGACATCAAAGAACTAAAAGGCAAAGTCCTGCTCTCGGTGAGCTCCAGAGAGCATGTGGCTGTAACAACTGGAGTAAGTGACATTGGTCTAGGGCAGGTGGAGCCAAGGAGGACTGAATCCCTTTTGGTGCCTTGCTCTGGGCATCTGCGGACACGGGCTCTGCTGTTTACAGCACTGCCTCTGTCCCACACCATTTTCCAGCCCTGACCACATTAGCTTGGACTTTACTTTCTACTCTGCTAAGGCTAACCTTAGTTGCTTATTTGTGCTGAATGTCTCCCGTGTGCCTCCCTACCCCGTCCACTCTCCACCCTTTCCCACAGAACCGGTGTCCCAGGAGGGTAACCTGCAGAAACTTCCTTAAAGGGCTCCCTAGGTCTCTAGCTTCCTAATATGTTCAGCCCACGGAGAACTCTGGCAAGAGATGAGAGTTTGGATGCTTACCACTCCAGCACCCTCCCAGTGGGGTCACTGAGGACCACAGCTCAGGCAGGTGGCCTCTCCTTTCTTTTCTCTCTTTGGGTTTTGGGAACCCCTCCCTGCAGGCCAGGATTCACAAGGGTGCACTGGGCCCAGGTTGCTTTCCACCCTTGTGGTTTACCACTCCACACTTAAATAATTCCTTTAACAAATGCAGCTCAGATTTCCAGTTTGGAGTGTGCCATTTGTTTCTAGCTGGGAGCCTGACTGACCACTATGGTTTCATGAAACATGGTGCCGTCCTTTGTCCCTGCCATTGTCTTCCACCACCCACGGAGAAGGGCAGTGGTACACAGGGCTGGGCTGCCTCTCACCCGTGGGATAACCCCGGGTAAGTGGCTTCTCCTCTCCCAGTCTCTTGTTTTCCAATATATTACAAAAATTGTGTAGGCTAAGTGATGATGTCCAAGTCCCTTCCGATTCTACTACGAGATAATCCTGGACTGTCCATTTTGAGTTCTGAGTTTTTATCACGGATTGTGCAGGGCGCTGCAGACAAACTTACACGGAGTGCCACGAGGAGGTGGGCCGTGTGTTTACCAGCTGCCGTGATGACTTCTGGGGGTGAGTTCAGAAGCTCACAGGGTTCGAGGGGTCCCGCAGCCGTATCTGAGGCGTAGCTGGGTGGGAGCCCCACAAAAGGCTTTGCGTGGCAAGGAACGGGAGCTCGGCCAAGGAGCGCTGGGCTGGGGATTGAGCCTGTGGTCCATAGCCTCGTGGCTGGGGCCCAGGAGACTCCGCGAGCCCCAAGGGCGCCCAACAGACATTTCACCCTTTCGGGCCTCGTCTTCCCGCCAGCAAAGTGCGGGAGGTGAGCGACCGACTGAAAGGCACGGGCCAGGCCAGCACCGGAAGCGCAGGGACGCGGCGGCGGCCCAGAACAGTCGAGCCAAGGAGATTCGAGCAGCCTTTCGAACCGGTGGTGGGAGGCGGGGTTCCCGAAGCGCGGCAGTCTGGGGGGCGGGGCGGAGGCCGGGCGCACGGCGATTGGTGCCCAGCCCTCTGCCGCCAGCCAATGGGCGGCGAGGGCGTCCCGGGGGGCGGGGCGGAAGCCGCGTCTTAAGCTCTGTGACGCGCCGCCGTTGCGCTGCCGCGCTGTCGACGCCGCCTGTCCCGTGCCGGGTTTGGAGGTGCTGCCAGGTATCCGCGCTGGCGCTCCGGGGCCGGGACTTGGGTCGAGACCGGGGCGCCCCACACGACGGCCGGCGAGGCGGCCGGCCTGCGAGGCTTCGGTCCGGGGTCCGGGGCTTGGGGTCTGGGGGTAACGGGCTCGGGACGCGCTGGGCCTCGGCCGGCGGGCAGGCTCCGCCTCTGCGGCCGTTTTACGTGGCCGGCGGCTGGCACCGCGGGGCAGGGGAGCAGTGGGCCGGAGCGCAGCCTCGGCGGGCAGGGACGTGGCGCATCCCGGCCCCGAGCGGCAGGAGGGCGGGCGGGCGAGGGAGGGAGGCAGGCGGCAGAGAGAGGCTGGGGATGTGGCACCTCCGCCTGCCAGAGCGGGCGGAGCCGGGCCGGCCCTCGGTCCTCCAGGCCAGCGGCCCCCGACTCCGCGCCGCGGACCCCCCACTCCCCGGGGTCTCTGCGCCTTGGCTGCGCACCTCCGGGTTTGCGAGAAGGAGGTGATGGGGCGCCGGCTCGTGGGGAACGGGCTCGGGACTCCGCGGGTATCCTGGGTTCCCGAGGTCGACCAGAAGGGTGCCTTGTGGGTGCGGAGCAACTGCTCAGTAAACGGTGGCTTTTGTAATGGGGCGGGGGGCGCTGATGGAGACTCTGGAAAAGGGTTCGAGTCCTTCCGGGCAGCGCCTGGGCCCTGCAGCCAACCTGCTTATCTCTCCCCTCCCCCAACGTCGTTTTCTTTCCAGCCTTTGTCTGAATAAAAAATTGCAGAAGTAGAGGCTTATCTGCAGTAACGTGCAGATTCATTGGATGGTGTCAAGGGATTGGGGCCAACCGGGCTTTCGGCACGAAAACTTTATTCCTGGAGTTCCTTTGCCAGCAGAGCTGAGCATCAGTAAATTCTGGTTGAATTCAGTGGGGGCACTTGTTCTCAAGAACCTTTGATCCTCGCTTTTTTTTTTTTTTTTTTGTCACCGTAAACTCTTCTTGATTTCAGTTTTGTCTCTTTGATGAAGTGATCAATTAAGGGAGAAAAGGAGTGGGTTTGAAAGGAATTAGCTTTAAGGAATTACTGATCTTTAATTTTCTCAATTCTAAATCTCTCCGGGTTTGTAAGAGTTTCTGTCGGTAAACTGATTCTCTCAGTTTGAACCGGGAAGTGTCCCTTCTGTGATCCAAATTCTTTACTTCACCTATTTTGAAAGAAACCATATGAAACGCCCAGAGTTTAAGGGACCCCCAAAAACGAACCACCAGAGTCCAGAGTCAAAGCTAAGCAGCAAGGGTCATTTATTGCAGGTTCGAACCTGGACCTCCGCACACTCGTTGCCGGTGACGCCCAGAGGTCCTGAGAGAAGTTTTTACACCCCTTTTACAGACAGGTACAAACAAGTCATGGGGAAATCAGGAATACACGGATGTGCCAAGCAACAATGATTGATCAGAAATACACGGATGTGCCAAGTAACAATGGTTGATCAAGAATATACGGTTGTGCCAGGCAATAATGATTGATCAAGAATACATGGGCGCGCCAAGCAATTGTACAGAAGTGGAACAAGCTGGTTAAGCTTGGTTAGGTTTCAGTTTCCCGTAACTTAAGCTTTTAAGTTTAAATTTTCTCAGGCCCCTCACATACACTTCTTTCATTAGAATATCCTGGTTTCATCTTCAGAGAATCTAGTTCCGGACTGTGAAAAAGATCCCAGTATGAAAGTAGACTCTTTTTTATTTTTTTTTGGAAGCATCTTTAAAAGTTTTCATTCCAGTGTAGTTAAGATACAGTGTCCTGTTAATTTCAGGTGCACAATGTGGTGATTCAGCAGCTGCGTATATTATGCAGAGCTCATCGAGATAAACGTACTCTGAATCCTGTTCTGAAAGTTAGAATCTTCTAATAAAAATAAGATTTAAATAAAACTTACTGTTTTGGGTTTACAGTTTTTCTTGGGGTTGAAGATCAGTTTTACATCCCTCCTCCCCCCCCCCCAAGACGGAGCATAACTTTAAAGTAAAACTTTGTAATAAAAATTCTTGAAAAGGCACTTTTTCCCCTCACGCTGTCTTATTTATATTTCCCCCTATACTCTGCCTTTGTTACATTCACTTGTGTGTGTATTTTATGCCCTTTACTGAGTTCTGGAGGGCGGACTGACTCCTACATTTTAATATTGAGAGGAAGGCACCAGGTTTGGGAGGTGTGTGGAGGGTGTGGTGTGGCTGAACCAGTCCTTTTTCAGTAGTAATGCCCAAGGTGTTTGCCAGTGACGCACTTGAGTTGAATTTTAGCCAGATTACGTACAAAAAAAAAAAAAAAAAACCCTCAAACTTGTTGGCAGAACTTGTAAAAAAGGACTGCATTTGTGAATGGTTACCTCAAGAAAAGTAAATATTTGACCAACATAGTAAAGCCAAATTTACTCCGCAAGTTTTTAGTGGCATTTTTTTTTGTAGGTTTATTTTTTAATTTTTTTTATTTTTTCAATATATGAAATTTATTGTCAAATTGGTTTCCATACAACACCCAGTGCTCATCCCAAAAGGTGCCCTCCTCAATGCCCATCACCCACCCACCCCTTTAGTGGCTTTTTGATGAACTTCCACTGGTTTTTTTTTTTAGCATAATTAAAAACCCATAGTGCACTGCTGACTTAACTCTTCAAAATGCAGCCTTTTATGGGAATTCTGTTTTAGGTGTGTGTTGAGGTAGACAGGATAGATTAGATGGAAAGGAGTAATAATAGCTTGGAGAAAGACTGGGAGTTATGGAGATGACTGAAAACACTCAGTGTTAAAATTTTTGCTGTTAGTCGCAACGTGTTGTTTTCTCCAGCAGCTGACTGTGGGCCTTGGTTAAACGCAGGACAACAGCCTGGACCGGTCACAGTTATACACGTTGCTTTGACTCTTGAAGGCCATTAAATCTCATGAAGTGAACTTTTTTTTTTCATTTAAAGTTTTAATTTAAATTCCAGTTAACATACGGTGTAATATCAGTTTCAGGCATACAGTTACCCAGTGCTCCTCACAAGTGCCCTCCTTCATCCCCATCACCCATTTAACCCATCTTCCCATCCACTCTGTTCACCATCAGTTTAATTCTCTATGGTTAAGAGTCTCTTTCTTGGTTTTCCTCTTTCCCCCCCTATGGTCCTTTGTTTTGTTCGTTAAGTTCCACATACGCGGGAAATCGTGTTTGTTGAAGTGATCTCTTGATGGAAAGATTATAGTTGCTCCTGGTGGTATCTTAGGGAATGCTGGCTTCCTCTAGAGCTAGACTCAACTCAGGGATGGACGATTTTATCTGCCCTCTGGATGGCCTTGCTCTCTCTGCTGCCTTGACTTCTTCAGGAGTCCTACCTGTATTTAGGAATGACCTCATTCATTTGACAAAGAATGCTAGCGGAGTGTCCAAACATGGGCTGGATTCTGGGGATGCAAAGTGAGTTTTAAGACATGGTTATTCACTGTTCGGGGCACCTGGGTGGCTCAGTTGGTTGAGCGTCTGACTTCAGCTCAGGTCATGATCTCACAGTTCGTGGGTTCGAGCCCTACACTGGGCTCGGAGCCTGCTTCGGGTTCTGTGTATCCCTCTCTCTCTACCCCTCTCCCGCTCATGCTCTGGGTCTCTAAAAAATGAATAAATGAAAAAAAAAAAAAAAGACATGGTTACTGTTCTTTTAAGGAGCCTACTGGGATTGTACTAGGGGGCCAGGCATGAAGACGAGTGTCCTAAAGTGTTAGGACCTGGGACAAAAACATGCAAGATTCCTGGGAGTCTTCAGGGGGGGTCTTATGTTGTAAATTCTATGGGGGAGCGTGAAAAAAAGCTAATGGGTATAGTATTTATGCATACTACAGATTTATACTGCAAAATATAAAATTGCAGCTAATTTTTCTTGTCATCTGTGTTTCTAATTTTTTATCAATAGAAAAATTTTCTTGGAAGTTTAAAAAAATTTTTTTTTCACATTTATTCATTTTTTGAGAGTAAGAGAGCATAAGCAGGAGGGGCAGCGAGAGAAGGAGGCACAGAATCAGGAGCAGGGCTCCAGGGTCTGAGCTGTCAGCACAGAGCCTGACGTGGGGCTCGAACTCATGGACCACAAGATCATGACCTGAGCTGAAGTCGGACGCTTAACCAACTGAACCACCCAGGCGACACCCACCCCCCCCCCCCCGGCTTTTTTGGGGGAGGTTTAAAAAAGAAATCATGGCAATGTTGATTTTTATATTGTAGAAATTGTCAAGTTCCATTATTGGATTTAAGGGAGGAAGGGAACTGAGTGGCCATTTATGCCAGGTTTGGCAGTTTAACATTATGTCATTTAATCCTCAGTAATGACCTTGAGTGGTTTCAACCTCATTTTACAAATGGGGAAATGAAGCTCAAGATAATCTCCAAAGGTCCTTTGAAGAGGCTCAGCTAGAATTTAAATCCTGGTCTCTAGACTCTGGACTTTCTGCTCTCCTCTCCTGCTTTTCTAATCCTTTTTCGAAGAGGAAATTACTGATACTATTTTTGAGCCCATCTTAAGTCTGTTCTAAGGTTTCTTGTATAGTGCCGAGCATAGTAACTCGACCACAGAAGGTTCTTTACTAGAAATATGTTTACAGGATTCTGGTTACATCATCACACTTTCAACTGCAAGACTTTTTCCAGGTGCATATCCAGAGTTCATCTTTAAAAACCTTAAGGATGAGTATTAGCAATGTTCTGAATGTTACTGATTTGTCTGTGAGTTGTAGTTATTTTTTTAATAAGATTGAACTCTGCGGATAAATGGGTATTTGGTCCCATTTCTTTTGCAAAGTAGCTGAGTAAATAGTAGGAGACCATTGAATTTAGATAA